AATGGTTTGGAGTGAGACCAAGGTGTGAGTGAAATTACAAGAACTATAAAGACTGTCAAGGTCAAGTTCTGTTGACCTAGCCTCCAGAAACTTACTATTCTGGACTGAGGAATTTGTTCTATAGATTTTCTAGGACCACCCATTGGAAGAGGAGGGAGATTGGGAAAGGGCTGACATAGAACTGATGTTCAGCTAACAATAGCATCTCTAAGCAAGTGTTCGAGGTGTGCTGACAACAGAGGGCAGCTGGATTACGACTCTTCACCTAGATCCTCAGGGGAGTCAGACCGCTTCTTTAAGTTGGATGCAAGTTTGTATCTAACTAGTGCTTTATCCATCTCCAGAGAGAGGGGAATGCTTTCCAAATTATAATTATTTCTTCCTTTCTGCAAAAATGTGACATTTCACAAAAAAGAGCCATGCATTTACTTTATAATTTCAGGATCCTGTATTTTCCATTTTGGGGTTAATCTATAGTTAATTGTAGCTGCTCACTCATCCCCCCCTTCTCATCCTTTATGCTAAGCAATTAATGCTCTGTGTATTTGTGTGTGAATCTTCTTTTAGAATTAGGTGCCCAAAGAAAGAATCCATTTTTGAAAAGAGGGACTGTGAAATCCATCGCTTGTTTCAGAAATTTAGTTTTCATAAAACCGCATTTGTAAAAACAGGCCCGCCTCTAGAGAACATGTGACAAATATCTAGCAGATGTCATTACGGCAAAGTACTCTCCTCAAAACCCTTAAATTTTCGCTTCCTCTGGATTTTCTGCCTTAATGGAAGAGCCCGCCATGGCGACACATACGCTCTGCTTCTCGAAGTGTCGTCTGCGAGGCGCTGCCAGATGGTCTCTTTCAGAATAAATATGATAATGTTTATATTTGTGTTTATGGCATAAATTGATAATTTTCTCATGGTATTTAATAAAAAGCAATTTATTTCATTTCTATCTCAGAACCAAGTACCTTTCTTCACTCTGTATGATGAGGGTTATTTTTTTCTGTTGGTGAAGGGGGCAGCAAGCACGGGCAGTGCAACTGTGTCGGTCGGCTTTCCCATTGCTGGGACCAAATATCTGACACCTGCATCTTAAAGGAGAGGTTTATTTTGGATCACATTTTCAGAGGATTTAGTCCATGGTCAGCTGGCTCCAAGGTAGAAACATCACGGCGGAAGGATGTGATGGAGCAAAGAGGCTTAGTTCATGTCAGCAGGAAGCAGAGAGGAAGGAGCCAGAGACAAGACATAGTCCCCAAGGTTACACTTTTATGACCCGCCCAGGCACACGCGGAAGTGAGCTTTACTAAGTCCTAGGCTTCTCTCAAGCCAATCAAATTGAAGATTAACTATCACAGTAACCGAATTCTGTCTTCTGAAGTGGCATCCAGCCAAGAAGCAGTTGAGATCCACTCCTCTCCTCAAAGGTTGGCTTTTCAATGCCTCAGAAAGGGACAGTTAGTCACAATGATATGGACAAGAGAGCCAACCTCTTTTAAGCTCCAAGGCTTGGCTGTTAGCTCTAATATCCTGACTGAGCCTGGGCTTTCTGGCTGTATCCATCATGTTTATAGAGGGCTATCACATTCTCTTCTAAGCCTTTATTTTTCTAGATTGGAATCTTTATTTTATAATTCTGACCATGGGAGGAGGGTGAGGGATCAAGTGACTTTTCATCCCTTGATTTCTTTTTACTTGGCTGGGGTCTTGTGTTTAGGAAGAGTGGTATAAAGTTCACCCATGCAGCTTTGGTTCCCAATGTTGTCTTTGGCTAACAGAGACTGGTCCTGGCAGACAGCAATAGCAGGACAGTATGAGGATGGACTGCCAGTACAGCAAAGGATGAATTTATGTCAAGGAGATATGGAAAATCGGTGTGGTGAGTAGTTGGAGATTAGTATCCCAGCAGCTTGTTTTTCTCCTCTTTGAAGGAATATGAAGTGGGGAGTGGGAAAAGGTTGGAAGAGAAGGGAAGATTTGGCAACTTTTGGCAAGAACTAGAGATGCATTAACATTTCTCTCACTACTGAACTTAATACAAGGACAGACTTCGATCCTTCTCACCAGCTTCTCACTGCTCATTCTTTAGCCTATGGGAATTTGGTTTCCATTTCCAATCTGCAGCAAACATTCCCCCAAATCCCAAGAACTATCACACTGGTAAAGACTGAGATTCAACCTCACTCTGCTCATCCTTGCATGTGCTTTCACAGGAAAATCTATCTATCCCTGGATTCTCTGTCAATGCTGTGCTTGTCTAGACTTCTCTGGTGGTTTCTTCTCATTCTCCAGTCTTGCCACCTCTTCCTCCTCCTTGTCTCCCACTGAAGTGTGGGTTCTATCTTTGGTTCTTTTGTGGTTGTGGTCACTGTAGTTGCTACCATGGTGTTATTGTCCTCTACACTATCTTCAGATGTCAACTTTCCATTTACAAGTCTGATCATGAGCTTTCTTCTGAGCTCTAGAATGATTTTTTTTCAGTCTTTCTGCACAAGAATGTCCTATTCAGACAGGAAACTATTGTGATACACCTGGTAAGGATGCTAAGGATCTTCTCCAGAGTTTTAAGAGTGGGAAAAAACTTGATAGAGGAAAAATATTTAGCAAATAAAAAGGATTCAGCTGGGTTGTGAACTGAAGAAGGAGGATCCCAAGTTCAAGCTCAGCCTGGAAAACTTAATGACTTAGTGAAACCTTGCCTCAAAATAAAAAATAAAAAGGGATATAGCTTAGTGGTAAACCACCCCACATTCAATTGCCTGAATGGAAAAAAGTCAGGACTCATGGATTTGCTGTTCAAAGAGAGAGGGAAGACAAAAAGGAATGAGAGATAGGAGGCAAAGCTTATTCCAAATTTCATAGCTTGGGTAATATGGAGGATGTGTGCACCTTTATTGGAGTTAAAAATTCGTGGTAAGGGGTAGTTTTGAGGGAGGAAACCATGATTTCAGTTTCGGATATTGTTAACAGCCCTCATCTCTGTCTTCAGTTTTCCTTTTTTACTGCTACTAGAATTAACTTCCTAAAACAGAGGTCTGATCGTACCATTCTCCTCTTTTTTATTAGCTTTTTTTTTTTAAGAGAAGTTTCGATAGAAACAGGGTAGAGTTCAGTCTCCTTGACAAGGGAGCTGAAGCTCTATACAAACTGACTTTGGTTTCATTGTAATCTTCCAGCGCAATGGAATCCACCAAGCAATTTCTCACCTTCTTGCCTTTGCTCAAGCTGTTCTCTCAATCTGGAATGCTCTCCCCACTTTTATTGCCTGCAAAAGTCCTACTCAGTCTTTAGATTATACTTTCCATACTACATCTTCTAGAAATCTTCCTTCCACGCTGATAAGAGTTAGTATCTCTATTCATTATTTCCGTAAGAATATGTGTATAGTTTTACCAGTATTAGAACACATTTACTCATACACTTCTATTGGTTGGTAATTCTTTAAAGCTAGGAAATACATCTTAGCCATCTCCATTTCTTGCCAAGTGCTAGCACACAACTTTCTACATATTTGTTGTTCATGAAATAACAAATGGAAAGAAGCGGGAGACACGAGTCAAGTTTAGAGGAGATGGGGAGTCTAGGGGAAAGAAGACGTTGGGAAGGCAGACTTGGACTCACTTTAGAATAGTTTCCAGGGAGATGGACACTTTCAGTTGTGAAGAAAAGATATGGAGAGTAATGAGGAGGCAACGGATTCTGGGTAACATTAGGGGCTCATCCCTTAACACATAATCTTGTGATGCAAAATCATGCACGTACATATTTAGTTTCCTATTCACAGGCAAACAAGCCAAATTCTCAAGTAAGTCCTTCATCAGCAGGAAATTCTTATTCTGCTCATTTAAAAAGACACATGGCCTCTCCATGTAACAGAGGCTCGTACATATTTAGCTGCTTCTGTGGCTGTGTCTATTGTCTTGATGCCATAAAGTGATGGAACCTTGACTGATAGCATGATTATGACCCAATGCTATGCCCATTTATTTAATTGTAGGAAAGATGGGCAAGGGCATATTCTGATTAATGAGATTTCTTTGACCCTTAATTATTCTTTTCATATGTTAGTCTCTTTCATCAACCTGTTTTTATTTTCAGCAGCTCAAGGGAAGAATGAAAAATATTGTCTTGCAATATGAATCCTAAAATAATAAAATTGATGGCTTTCCTTCTGGATGCTCATGTGCATACATATTTATTATATTTATAACTATGTTAGGTATATACTGTATGCATTCTTTATATATATGTGTGTGTATATATATATATTCTATGTCCTTATGTGACCATATATCAGTCTATGTTTATTTCAATATTCTATTAATAAAAGGACTTATCAGTTGTGTGTGTTAGAAATGGAAAGAGAGAGAGAGCAAAAAAGAAATGGAAAGAGACAAAGAAGACCCATATTCTAAATATTTACATTTTCAATTAGCTGTTTCCCATGAAGGGCAGATATTCCCTGTTCAGCCCTAGATATTTTACGAGTTATATGCACAGAAAAAAACCACCAGGCAAACGCAGTCTTTTATTCCTAGCTGAGACATGCCCCCTGTTGGACTCCAGTTCATAGTGAGTTGGGAACTGTGAGAGTCACCTGGGTCCTCTTGCTTGGGCTTGAGGCTGGCATTGGGATTCTGGGTGATGGCTTTGCTTCCTTGACTCCAGCTGGGTTCTCCTGTAGCTCGTCCAGGGCAAGGAGGCTGCCCACGGCAGAAGGCAGCCCACTTTCCTGTCAAGTGGCTTTTCCAGAGTCCTAGGAGAGCTCCATTTCATTAGAGAAATCCAGAAACAAACTCCAGGGCTAGGGGTGAAGCTCATTCTAGCATGTCCAAGGCCCTGGGTTTAATCCCCAGCACTGCAGAAGACAAAGAAATCCACACAACAACATAAACAAAACTAAATAAGAGAGGATCTTTAAAAAAAAATAGAGCCCCTGCCATATGGATGAGAGAAACGCTTCCTGCTTCTCCTGTGCTAGCTTTTCTATTTCTTTGCATTAGGATCCAACACCTGGCTCTGCCTCCTTCTCAGGAGTGAAGGATCCTCAGGAGGAGGAGATTGAGTGCATAGTGGAGACTACAGTGATGGCAGCACTCATGACAATGCACTAATTATAGTGCACACCTCTTGTTCCCCAGCTCACAAATGCACCTTCTTACTGCAGCCTTGCTATGCCAACCAGCTGTAGAGAAGTATAATTGACAGCATCTCACTTTGGCTGTACCAAGTCCCTCATGCAGTCTGCACCATGGCTTCTCTGCCACCTGGAAGTGTAAGAGAGTGAACACCTCTGGGTTGACTCCACCCTCTTTCTTCTGTCTCTCAGGCTGTCTATTGTGAGGTTTACACAGCTCCTCCCCAGGGCCCTGGAAATGTTTCATCTCAGTTGTCTACAGCAACAACTAGCTCACCAGTGCACCTGGGATTGGCTTTCCTTTCTTACGTGTTCCGCTCTTACTGGTTTCTCACTTTTAATCCTAGGATTGATTTCTAAAATAAATGATTGAACATAAGCCCTGTTCTATGGTCTCTGTTTTTAGCAAGAGCTCAGAGAATAGATAGATAAAGATTGATAGATGATAGATGATAGAGACTAGATAGATAATAGAGATAGATAAATAGATATGTATATATGTATATTTGTAGGTATATAGGTAAATAGATATTAAAAGGAGATAGATTCGATTGGTAATAGAGATAAAAAGGTAGAAAGACATATAGGTAATAAAGATTTTTGTTATCTATGAATGCTGGTCAAAATTATTGCTTGAAGAACATTCTAACAGAATTCTGCTTTGAAGGGAGACAGAAAGGGACAGGGGCTCCATGGTCCTTTGTAATGTATACTGACAGATCTGTGGACTGCTAACCAGGAACTGCAGTTAAAATAGAAACAAGAATTGAAACACTGAGTTGAGTGATGGCATCTCACTATCTAGATAGCTTTAAGAGCTGAAAGATACTTAGCTTTCTGTGATGGTTTGGGTGGAGCTCAATATTCAGGTCGGAGGATCCCAGCCCAGTGTATCCTCTCTGCTTTACTTGTCTGACGATGGAGACAGGTCAGCTTCTTCCTTGTGTGTCTAAACAGGTAGCCCATTGCGACCAGTGGAAGGGCTGGGAGCTAGCCTTACTAATGAACTCAGAGTTCTTGGGATGGGTCTTTTTAAGTAAGTTGGTGGAAGACGATTATTTAGCACATTCTTTAATTACGCTAAAACTAAAGGACTTTCATGCCTGCTAAAGCATCTACTCTTCCGTAGGAAACATTTGAAAAGTGGTAGGCAGAGAGCTCAGCAGTTACCCTTGCCCTAGTCACGAGGAGGAGTGATAGGAAATGGAAGGGGCTGTTGGGAGATGAAGGGTGAGTAGGGCAGCACTGCTGTACCCCCATTTAGCTGTCTCCTAACTCATCTGAACAGTACCTACACACAGGTTGGGAAGGTATAGTTAAGCTGCTCTCAAGATGACTCAGATCATCTAAGCGTGGTGACTTAGCTTCAATAAGCAGGAAAAAAGAATTCAGACCTCTCAAACTCTAAAATAGGCAAGAAAATATTCTTAGTCATTTTTTTCCCCTCTCAAGCCTATCATGACTTAAAAAACATTGAGGAGTCATTTTTTATTATAATTCTCTTGTAGATTTTACCTTGCATTGACTTCTGCTTCAAAAAATTGCCTTTTTTGTCTAGAAGGAGTCATAGTCTTATTTATTAAATGTTATGTTAGATGGAGAGGGGTCTCCACATCATCTAGTTCAACCTTTTATGAGATGCTGAATGATATGTCATCATTGCTGCTTCGTTTGTGTCTGACCCAGGCTTCACCTCAACTGCAATGTCCCTTGTGATTGGAAAACATTATATATAATCAGATATTCTTACTAAATGAGTAGGGCATCAGTAGGGATTGGTGTAGGGAAATTAATTTTGAGGTGTGAATTGAAGTCAATTCTCTGCTTCAAGTTTACAATTCTACTGAAAACTAAGGATTACCTAAGGCTTAACTGTATTGCAAAGGAATCCCAAGGGGACACAATTGGTTTTCCTTTTCCATTTTTCAAGTCCCATTGTGAGCAGGATTAACATTTCCCTGTTTTGCAGATTCAGCCTAAAGAAGAAATTATGAGTGGGAGATCTACTACCTCATAAAGAAGAGTGAGTTTTGATTGATAACCCAAGAGTACCCAGACTTTGGATGGGGAAGAAAGATGGGTCCCTTGGTTCCTGTGAGTTACCACACTTACCTCATGGCTTTTTTTCTGGGCGTTTTCATGTTTGGTTAATTGCCACTACTCACAGAATAAAGCCCATTTTGTGTGAGACTCTTTTATTCTGAAGGAATGCTATAAGGATGTTGACTGGTGTTATTGTGAATATTTGTGATTGATGTGGCTCCTTAGGGTGGAGCCTGTCCTTTCAAGGGCACCCTTTATCTTGTGATTTTGTTCACAGGTCCTAAGGTGCTGTTGGGAAAGGTTCTTTTACCTTTGGTTTCTTCTGGAGGCCCATGTGAAGTTCCCAACATTTTTGGCACCAGGGACTGGTTTCATGGAAAACAATTTTTCTGTGGACCAAAAGAGGAAATACTATGTTTCTTTTTTAAAAATCAGTATATGTTTGAGATACATAATAATATTTCTCAGTGCTTGCATCACCGCCTCAGCTCCACCTCAGATCATCAGGCGTTAGTTTCATAAGGAACATACAATCTAGATCTCCTTCATGTGCAATTCACAGTAGGGTTTTCACTCCTATGAGAATCCAATGCTGCTACCGATCTGACAGGAGGCAGAGCTCAGGTGGTAATGTGAGTGATGGGATGTATGTGAATAGATGAAGCTTCCCTTGCTCACCCACTGCTCACTTTCTGCTGTACAGCCCAGTTCCTAACAGGCCATGAACAAATACTGGTCCACAACCTGGGAGTTGGCAACCATTACCTTAGAGGCTGTACCCCTCCTTCTCTCCTATTTTTTATATGGACTGAGCTTCTCTTGACTCTCCTTCCTTCCCATGGGCCAAAAGCACTGAGGGGACCTGAGGTATATACCTTCTCCTTCATATTGTTCACCTTGTCCACCTCTCCTGTGAGTGTTCTGATGTGATGCTTCTGACTTCGGGAAGGAGATACAGTTGCTCATCAAGACCTGATAGTTTTCCTTGTGCCCCTGTGACCACAGCCCCTGTGGTCACAGCTATGGCTCTGTTAAATGGTCAGGCATTTCATGGCTACCAAATGGACAACCAACAACAAACACATTGTAGAAGACATGGCATTGAGTCTTGGCTTAAAATATATTTATGTAGCATGACAGTAAAAAACATCTGGGTGCCTGGATTAGAATTCAAACAAAGGCTTGGAGATGCCCAGGTCCAACAGAGAAGATGCGTCTTTGTCATAAATGGCTGTATTCCCAGATCATTCCTGTTATTAGAACCCCATTTTGAGGAAAAAGTATCTCCAGACTGATGATTATTTTCTTTACATTGATGGATAGCCTCAGTCACAGGGAACATGCGAGGTACCTACAGAGTCTAAGGAAAAAAATGTGCCGGAGGGGGAGGGGGAGGGGGAAGATGACGACGACGATGCTCATGGCTGCTGTCCTAGCAAAAATCAAAGAAATCTGGCTTATTTGTAGTATTTTTATTTTATTTTATTTTATTATTATTTTTTTTGTACCAGGGACTGAACTCAAGTCCTTGGGCTTGCACAGCAGGTGGCAAAACCACTGAGCTAAAACCCTGGCCCTGTAATATTTTTAATAAGTACCAGCCACTCCCAAACAAAGCTGGTATTTGAATCTAATAAAAGAATGTGTTTCAATCATCTAAAAAATAGTTACTGAATGAAAAAAATAAAGAGAAAGTAGTGTCTGATTAGTGACTGGTCATTTACAAAATGACTTCTACATTATCTCATTTTTAAAAAAGGAAATTTGATCATTTTAAATGTTAGAGTGAAGTGGTTCACAATTTCTTGAAATAAGTAAAGGACATTATATTTATAAGCATGTGAGTTGTGAGCCAGACCAGACATTCTCATCTGTTGCTTTATATATTTTTATCAGCCATCACAGATTCATGGGGAAGGTTCAAATGGACAGAACTTTAAAATGGATTTTAAAAATACTGTATGGTTTTAACTTATCAGTATGCTTTTCATCTCCCTATCCCCTTTTCTGGTCTGTTTTTTTCTCTGGTATCTTGTCTTGAATGGTAAACTATTACTACTTGCATTTGGATAGATTATTATTTAGCTTGCAAAACATACAATTTCCCCCTCACTAAAATATCCTGGTTGTCCAACTTCATTAAGATAAATGAAATTATTCATTTTTTTCCCCTTTCTTTGGCTGTGGGGCCAATAAATTCATGTTAAGCAGGAGAGGGTAAGGCTGCTGAACACTTCTAAATGTGACTAATTTCAGGAAGGAGCTGCCATTATAACCATGGCTGTTCAAAGCATGCATTTTGTAACAGCTATAACTAGGAGGTCCACTAACCTGATTAAAATACACTGAGAAGTAAAAAACAGAACAGAGAAAACAAAACCTTCAGATTAACAAGTAGACAAGGATGGCAACCAAGGGGGAGAAAAAAGAAACAAGAATATAGCCAACCTTTTTTTTTTTTAATTAGAGTATATTATATTTTCAAACTGGATACACTAGAAATTGGCAATGCAACATAAGATGCAAAGGAATATACCAGTTACTGTCAAAATGACCCTGTACAGCCTTGTAATGCAAAAAGCTTTATACAATACAAATTTTTCAGTAATGTACACAAACCTTGACAGTATGATCATCTGAACATAATATGAGGAGTTAAAAAAAGGATAAATGAAAGTGCTGAGAACCCTACCTGCATTACTATATGGGAAAATAAGCTAGCTTTCATGGAAGGATGCATAGTGAAAACAATTGAAGTTAGTTGGTAGGTGACTTTCTCAAAGATGTTAGTGTTTTACACGGAAAGGATATCTATCGACTACATCCTTCCCTGAGTATCAAACTGCAAACCAAGTTCGGGGGTATATATTATCTAGGTGGAGTCTGAAAAAATGCTGTAGATTTTTCTTTATTAATAACAATAATAATATAAAAAGTCAAACAAACTCCAAACACACCTCTTCTCACTCAGAAAACTTTTATAATTTACCAGAAAGATTGATGACTCTTTCCAAAGTGCTAAAAAAGTTGCCCAATTATATTAAGCATTACTAAGTCATTCAAATACAAGTTCAGTGGCGAGCAGTGAAATGCACGGCATTTGAGCAGTCGATGTCTCCTTCCACCATCTCCTCACTCTTGAAGGTTTCCGTCCTCAGACCTCCTATTGCACAAGTGGCAAGCTATAACACCCCGAGTCCTCGCTGTCAGGGCCACCCTTTCAGGTTTTTAACCTGCGGTGCATAAGTGTCATTCACTTTTTCTCCCAGCCTTGGTGGGATCACCAGGGCCCTCTTTCCTGTCATCACTGAACTTGTAGTTTTGAAAACACATTATTAGCCAAGTGGCACATTCTCCATTATATGGGGATAAAGACATGACTTTAAAAAGAACCAACCCACCCACAAGC